CATATGTCATGTATATCATCACTACAGTCTCCTTCAACTATGGCTTGAGCTATTAGATTCTTTTTATCTTTACTGTCACATTGTTGCCACTGTTGTCATTACCCCTTTGGCCTTTTTCCCCAAAAGGCCTCTCTTTCCCTCTAACTTTGTCATGAGTCTATTGATACATAGTCACTATATACATACAATAAGCATCTTTTAGTGTTTGTTTTCTCATATTAGTCACTTCTTTCTTTTGTATGAGTTTAATATGAGTTTTGATTTGTTTTGTTGTAGAAAAATAAGGCCCAAGATGAATCTTCCCATATTCTTTAGGATGCTGGTGCTTGGTTTCCTTGAGTAAGTTGCCTCTTATCCATTACTACTAAATACTAGCATTGTATGGCTTGCTTATTTCAATTTACTCCATGTTTTTGGATTTTTTTTCTTCTTATATTTATTGAGAAATTTACATTGTCATCAATTCTATTAACATTGCAAGAAGTAATCAATAACATAACATCTAAAAATCCAAGCATGTTCTCTAGCTTTCCAAATTGGGCTTAAACTAAAGCCTTAACTTGATTATGTTATCTACCTTGGTTTAATCAAGCAAGAAAGATGGTAGCTAAAGTGAAGTGTCTCGAGCAAGAGAGAGAAGTGTGAAGTTGAGAGAGAGAAGACATAGTTCGACCACATGAAGGATCCTTCAACAACTGAGCTCCCCTATTTAGATAGCATGGATTGAGATGGAGATTGTTTCTATTCGTCCTAACTTTTTATGTTAGAAATAGACATTTAGTTTTTTATGTTCTATTTCATCACCTTCGCCTTCCTTTTTCACTCTAAAGCCTTCTGCTTAATCTCCTTCCCCTTCTTCGATGACCCTCAATCACCTCCACCACCATCCTCCTTACCTCCTCCCTCTTCACCACTAGCCCCACCTCCATCCAGTCCCCTACTCCTCACATGCATACCAACAATTTTTCTGTTGCTCTATGAATAACAACTAGCAAACCATTGGCAACTTCCTAGTATAACAATATATTGAGGCCATAATGCATGCCTCATCAATATCTAGAACAAGATCATCAAGCATGAGCCAATCTTAATGAAGCCATCGGTGCCATTAACAAGATTTCTATGTTCAACACTTTCTCTGTCAGCTACCACAAGCAAGTAGCTATCAAAGACTACAAGGAGCTCGTTGATTTCTTAATGTCAGAACTAGCTTGGTCAAGGCCATAGAGAAGAGAGAGGAAAGCAAGAGAGGGAGGGTGTGAGAGAGAAAGAGTGGGGAGGAGAGAAGGAGATAAAGGGGGAGAGTGAAAAATATTAAAAAAATAATTATGGGACCCACTAATGCCAACAAATAGGGAAAATAATAGTAGGGTGACTAGGGGACTAAATTTCTAATGTTAAGGGATATAATTGACTCACGGTTGAGTTTAGAGTACCTAGTGACTTTTTGGATATAGTTGAGGGAAAAACTGATGTTAACCTCAAATTGTATTATGTGATTATATGTTATGTTATAGGATGACACCAAACAATAGTAAGGAAACTTTGAACTAGAAATATTAATTAATGATGCTTTATGACTAAACACAAGGAGGACCGCAAGATTAATGGCACTTTTGTAACCTACAGCTTTTGAAAATACAGCTAAATATTTGAATGCTTTAGTTGGTAAACAAATAGATACCTTACATATATTGCTTTCTCATGGGTGATGTTGATAAGCTTAGGACAATAGTTCAATGTCTAGTTTCAACATGGAATTAAGTGATATATTAAGGATGCTCTTTAGTTCTAAGTAGATAATCTGTTGAACATTTATGTTGACTTTCGTTAAATTTTCAAAATGTGGCTTTTGAAAATTATTGGTTAATTTTGTATATTTTGTTATATGATTAAAATAGAGTTTTAAGCATTGATGATGACTTTTTGTATATTGTCTCAAAATATGATTTCTGAGCATTGATTGATGGCTCGTGTTGATATGTATAACTTTTGTTTGTGCAAAATATGGAAAATTAACAGTTTGTTTAGATTTAAAAATATGATTTGTTATATGATATTTTATTAGATTGTAATGCATCATGTAATTTCGTTTTTGTTTAGTATATATATAATCGAAAGAAGAGAAAGTGAGTTTTTCGTTAGTATATTAATTTTTTATGCAAACATAAATAATGTGTTAGGACAAAAGTGAATTTTATTTGTTATGCAATTTAAATTAAGATGTATAATTTAATTATATGAGAAAGAATAAAAAATAAAAATAAACGGGTATAATAGTAAATTAGTTATTATTACGTCCTCTTCCCTCCCTTCCAACAACTAAATAAAATAACATAAAAACACTACTCTTCCCTCCTATTATTTGAACCAAAACACACCAACATTTCTCACTTTTTTTAAAAAAAATATAAGATCCACTTTTATTAAAAGGTTAAGAAGAGAACGTTAAAACCCAACATGAACTAATGGAAGTAGAGGGACATTAAGCATAACACATAAGACACAAGGAATGGAAATGACGAAATAAAGCTGACCAAATAGTGAAAAATAATTGATCCTGTTCGGACTTTACAAAGTGATAACGTTCTGAACACAACACGTGGTAGCATCGAACACCAGCTCCTTGTCCTGTGCACATTTGAGATGAAGCCCAGAACTATCCATTGACAATTATTGCTAAACCAAGTACAGCAAAGCTGAGATGTGCTTCTTAGCCTAACTTGTCAAGGTGGCAATGAGCATATATACATCCCCAATAGGGTTTAGAAGAATGCTGTGCAACTCTGACATCAAGTGATGACAGCATGAGGTAAGCTGCATGCATGCAGAGCAGAAGATTGAGTTTGAAAGGCATTGTTTTCATCCTACAAGTCTAAGATGATTTGTGTTGGTCCAGTTGACTAATAAATTGTGTTTTGTTATGATTAATATTTCAACTATGTTGTTATTCCCTTCTTGTTGTGGTTGTAAGCAGGGACAAACCTACTTGGTAGCTAGATGGGGCAAACGCCCCCATAAGGAAAGAAAAAATTGTATAAAATGACCCAAAAAATTTATTTGCTCCTCAGAAAAAGAATTTCATTTGCCCCCTATTGAATGGAAAAAATTCATTTGTCTCCTTGAAAGTTTCACTTATCTCCCTAAATATTTATTTAATTCAAATCTAACCTATTTGTTATAATTACTGAAAATAATCATATAGTTTGAAAATGAAGGAATACTAATTTAAAAGATAATTTTATTTTTTAAAATAAAAAAATTATCACAAAAAATCCTCTACTACACAAAAATGGTAAAATTTTATTTATATTAGACAGTTTTATTTAATTCACCATTGTAATTTTATACTTTATGACTTATTAACTAATAATTATCTAACAAACTTTTGCCTCTAACGTAATTTAATAAATATTTAAAATTATTTTTTTTAAAAAATTACATTTATCTTAAGTAAAATTTTTGCCTTCTGTACTTGGTTTTTCTGGGTCTGTCATTGGTTGCAAGTTGACACTTTGATAAGTCCAAGTAGTGTCAACTTGAGGGGGGTGTTTGAATATTAAAGTGTGATTAGTGATTAATCACCTAGTTAATTAGTTGATATCCCTACATTTATATACAGGGGTCACATATATGTCATAGTGTTTAATTAGGGAAGTTCACTAAATCCCTCGTGGTAGTCCGCATAATTTGGGGTTTGATCACCATTTAGGCAAGGGTATGGATTAGTTTGAGCAAGCTGCTCTTGGTTTTGTATAAACATTGTTTCCCCATTTGTCATTGTTATCCTTCTTCCTTTCATATAGCAAAGCAAACACTTCACAAAGGATAGAAGAAGGGGAAACGATGCATACTCTTATTATGAGCACCTATGAATGCCAACATACATAAAACATTAACGTAGGTAGCAGGCGGCTCTGCTATTTGGTTTTCTAAGGGCTTGTATGGTTTCTGTTTTCAATTTTTGTTTTTAAAAACTGTTTTGCAGTATAGTTTTTAAAATTATTTTTCAAAACAAAATTAAAATAAATTGTTTGGTTATGTTAATTTTAAAATTAATTTTATAATAAAAAATCAATTGATAGTGATGGTCGCTGGTGGTTAATAATGGTGATTTATGTTGATAATTTGTCAAGGTGATAATAGTGTTAGATGTAATGTATTTTGAAAAAAAAAAAGATTATGAAAACAACTCTATATGTTTCTGTTTTTTGTTTTTAAAAACAAAACAGAACAGTTTTAAAAATAATTAGATTCAAAATACTTATCCAAAAACAAGTTTTTTATTTTTTTATTTTTAAAAACCAAAAACTGTTATTGAGAGTCCTCAGTGTTTTTTGGCTAAAGCTCCGGAGGAAACCAGATGTGAAGGGATTTTTGAGAGGTTTATGGGCTTGTTGGGACTATAACATTGCTCCAATGAATGCTTGATCCCATGGCTGAACATTTTATAAGATGTTACGTTGTCGAGGCAAAAATAAATTCTGTATCCAAAGCCAAGAGTCCAGGATGCAGTGATCGGAAGTTACTGCAACATATCGATTTCCACAAGTTGCAGGATCGGAGTAGACTCCACTAATGGCGTGATCATAATAATTTTATCCCATCCCATGACCATCATTGTACTCTTTCTCTTTGGTAGCTCTCTTGCGGCAATACCACAGGAGGTGTTTGGACTTTTGAGGTTTGATACATGTAAAAGTAGATTTTATACCTGTGCGATGCCGGCCTAGGACATAAATTATTGATTTGATTAGAGGAAAATAAAGAGGAGTAAAGATTATATATATATATATATAGAAGTAATTAATTAACAATTAATTACTAGTATTTTTACATTATATTATAGTATTTTTCACACATGAATATAATAAATTATATTCATTATAATTAGTAGATAAACTGAAAATTTGTGTAAAGGAATAAAAACTGATTATATTAAAGTTATATTGATTAAGAAATAAAGATATAAACTAGACACTTTTTTTTTTCTTCTTTGCATATATTGCATGTAACTTAAATATATGAATGGTACTATTAAGATTTGTATGTATTATAATACTTTATATTGACAACTGTGCATGAATTGAGAATAACTTTGAAGACAAAGTACATCATTGAATTGAGCTTGTTAATGAAATATATATTTGATGAGGACGTAACACGGAGCTTATGCAGAAGTAAATCCACCTTTACTACTCGTTTAATTTCATGTACCTGCAAAAGCATAAATTAATGTGTTCAGACAATTAACAATATATTATGGAAATGAATATTTTAATGAGTGATGAGATGAATAATAATTCAAAGACATAACACGTGATGAATTTCTAAACATAAAAAGGTTATTGGACAAAGGTACCCGAGAACTTTTTTAGTGAGGACATCATTCTTCATCCTATTAAATTTGACTGACGTTTGTTAACATTGATAATTAAAAAAAAAAAAAAGGAAGCAAACATTATGTGCAAAAATATTTAGAAACTTTTTCTTCTAAAGCTTCTAGTATGCTTAAGTCAATAAAGGTACATGATACTCATTACCTTTATAAAATAGACCAATATTTACCAATCCATTTAAATTCTATCCTTAAAAGTTAATAATTAATGTCAAGTCATTTTAACAGATTGCAAAAAGCTAGAGTTGGTATTTTGGACCAAGCCTAACGAGCCAAACCGAATAAACTAAAAAAATGTTAGGGCTGGACTTGAGAGTTTAAAAATTTTTCTTTACTTCAAGCTTATTCAAGCTGCTTAAATAAGCCCAAAGAAATCCATACCAAGCATAAACCCGAATAGGGTTAGCCTAAATACTTGAATTTTTTATTATTAATAGAATAAAATTAAAATTAGATAAGAATTGAAATTGATTAAAAATAATATAATATAATATTTAATAATTCGTATATTTGGTCCAACCCAAAAGCTTAAAATGTTAGGGTCAAACTTGACTATATGGTATTGTTTATATGTTTGAGTATTTTAAACCTAATTTGAATAAGCCTACCCCTTCCAAATTAAGGGCTCCAGTGAAACTTGAACTCTTTTTATAAAGTAAATAAGTACTTATATACCATTATTGACTTAAGGATATTGGATGTCAAAAGCACCTAGAGAAAATTTTTTGAATATTTTTGCTCCTTAACCCAACATGTCGAGTCCACATTAATGAATGTTAAGCCATTTCAACGATTTAGGGAAGAATGCCCTCATTAAAAAGTGTTTATAGGTACTCTTGCACCTTTGTTAACCTAAGGATACTGAACGCACCTGGCAAAATAGTTCTTGGATATTGTTTCCTTTTAATCCAACATAAAATACCAATATCAGTGTAGAGGAAGGGAATTCAAGAAGGTGGAAGAAACGTTGTACAGGAAGAATGGAGGAATCAATTTGGGGCCTTTCAACACCGATCTTGAATGAGGCATCATTTGCTAAACAGACTGGGAAGATTATCACCAATAAGGAGGGCCCCTTGTTAGCTAGAAAGAAAAATTTGAAGAGGAAATAGATGGAAATCTTCTACAATGAATAATCCTTGGATTACGAAGGGAAGGTGAACAATTCTTGGAATATGTAGAGATTCCTGAAGATCAGCTCTTTCATTTCCGTAATCTGATATGGCAGGTAGGCTAACGTAATTCTATTCTAATTATCAACAACCATCTTTGATGGCAAATGCAAGCATATCAGAATTCTCATGCTGGGAAGGTGTAGATCTTATTTTGAGTGATAGAATTTTGAGAGAATCACATTCAACTCCTTCTCAAGAAAATTTATTACAGATAAAGACAAACAACAAGTCTCATTCAAGAAAAAACAAGTCATGTTCCCATTTTAACAACAATCCGTTCTGCATTTGTCCTTATTTGTGATTAATTCTCTTAGGAGGGGGCTAAATGTGATTTTCCTTAGAATATTTTTTGGAATAAGGATTTGATAACTAATTAGAGAAGAAATTCTCAATTTATCTTTTTCTATCTTAGGTTAAGGTGCAAAAATATCTAGAAATTTTTTCTCTAAGATCTTTTAGTATCCCTAAGTCAATAATAATTAATGAGTACCTATCCATTTTATAAAAGAAGCCAATCTTCCTCAATCTGTTAAAATAGTTTGACAGTTTACTATCATTAGAGCTTAACAGTCAACATTAGGCCATTTTAACAAATTGGAGAAAGTTAACCTTTTTTTTTTTTGAAGTTAATGGGCAATATACACTATTATTGATTTACGGATGCCAAAAGCTATCAGAGAAAAATTTTTTGAATATTTTTGCACCTTAACCCTCCTACCTTTGATGTTGGAACTATGCATCTTGAATTAGCAGAATATATATTGACTAAAGGGGTTATTCTTTGAATTTAAAAACATTATGGAGTGTTAGATTACCTTTGAAAACACTGTTATAGGTGTGAACGATCATTCATAATGGAATTCCAAGGGCAGAACTGCTCAATTAGCATTACCTGCAAGTACAGTAGTTATGTACTCTTAGTAACCAAGAGAATGAATATAATCAATAGAACATATTTTCATTCACTGTTCCTCTGCAAGTGTAATTTGGTTCATGTCAAGCTTGGCGTTGATAATTTGAATGATCAATCGATTGGTTCAAAAGCCATATTATCAAGGAGAAAGAACAGGATTGAAGGATGAAGGAAGTCATTGCAACAATATCAATATATAATATACAGCCATTAAGGCTTATTGCCTTAGGACTAAAAAAATATTTGTTTATATCCCATACAATCGATCATTATTTTTTTCATTAAGTATTAATTTTAGTTCTATACTTTTACTATTGTTTACTACCCTGTATAGAATATTATTGATAATACCAATATTAGTTGTTACTACTGAAAGAAGTTTTTCCAAATTAAAATTGCTTAATGTTATTTAATATCAACCATGTTACAAATATAGATTAAATAAATTAGTTATATTTTCTATTGAAAGTGATATGAAAATATATGAATGACAATACATTAGGCCCTTAAATAATTTCGTCATAGACTCCAAAACTTCTTACAGCCCCAAGAAATATAATGAAGCATTAGAGAAAAGTTGTTGATCCACTGCATGCAATGGTTATGATAAGAACAATCAATTTCTTATGAGTGGTTGCGGAGTGAAATAAAATATATAATTTCATTCAAGAAGGTTCATTATCAGAAAATGAAAGTACAAAGGGATGGTTGGTTATTTTTTATTGGAAGACCAATAAATATAGTGTTAAGAAGTGTCTTGGGTTCAAATAGCTTTATGTTGCTTTTAATTCAGATATGTCAAATGCCCGATGCATTCCTAAGTATATGGAAGATGTGATAATTAACATCATTGAAAGAAATTAGGGACCGATCAAGACTTGGTAATATGGGATGCTAAATCATACAATGAGTAGTACGGGATACTCAATAAAGTATTTAAGTGGGTTGATTCTTCCACCTCAACAACTAACTTTTTAGATAAGGTTCACCATTGCACTTACGTACCCATCAATTGATATTAGAGCTTTGTCATCGATAATTTCAGAGAAGGTTGCACACAAAATTTTTCTGATAAGCAAAAAGCTAAATTAAATGTCATGGAGTGTAGTTGCCGGCAGTTGAGTGTCCATGGGGGGGACACTTGATGGAGATTTAGTAATATAGGTTGAATAGTATGGAATGTTCAATAGGATATTTAAGTAAGTTGATTCTCCTTCCTCAACAGCTAACTTTTGGGGTTCATCTTACTTTGGTACCCATTATTAGGGCTCTCTAACCTGGTCTTTGACCTAAATTTACTAGTAATTGGGGAAGACAAAAACTCAGCATTGTGTTCACTGCTCGTAAAGCTAATATATATGTTGACGCAAAACAGAAGTGCGAAAGATCAGCTCACTTTATTTGGAAAGGCATTACCTATGTTTGTATTGAAGGAGGATCAACATGTACAAAATAACTTGCCGCCACAATCAAGTAGCAAAGAATAAGCATCAATCCTTTTAAGTAGTTGGATGTTCCATTCTACAACAGAAAAAACACGTAAAAAAAATGTATAGATTGTTGCAAACAGCAGTTAATAGGGTAAAAACAGGTTAGATCAAACAAGAGATTATAAATATGTAACATATAGATGGTTATGTCATGAAAGGTTATGTCGGGAAGAAAACTATGGCCCGTTTTTTTTTCAGCTTTTTTTTTATAGAAAAATCTTTTTTAAAAAAAATCTATTCTATGAGGCTTTATGATTTTTTTTAAACTTTTAAAAATAATTAAAATATAAAAAAGTAGATTTTTAACCATTTTTTACTTTAATTAGTTTTTGAAATTAAAATAATCTGATAAGGTGAAAGGGATAGAATGTCATGAAAATGTGAAAAATACATAAAGATATCATACAATTTAAATTAATTAAATAATAAATATTTTTATAAAATAAAAATCCACCAATATACTATGAAATATAAAAATAACTAACAATAATAATCATTTTTTATTATTATAACCAAATATAAAATAATATCCGTTTTTTTATAAAATCTATATAAAATAAATCTATTTTTATCTCTAAATTATCTAAAAAATAATTATTTTTTAATTTTAATTCTTAAACAAACAGGCTCTACATCTAATTGAAATGGATTAGAATAAAAAGTCGAGTATTATGTTAGCTCAGACTTTTTATGCTTCTAGCCTCTCATTGGGTGCATTCAGCTTACTTATTCCCTTGTACATCTTAATTTTGCCAAATTATGAAGTAGGCTTGATTAAACTAATAGGTCCATGGGATACCCCTTAAAATAGTTTTAAAATTTGTTTCAAATTATCTGATGTGTTTACTAAATTTGATGTATAGTATAGAAAGCGATGAAATGAAAAAACCAAGTGAAATGCATATTTTATAGTACAACCCCGATAGCTTATTAGTCATAATGTTAACTGGAAATGCAAACAAATGAATATAAGACAAAGCTTAATGTAATTTCCAAATGTTATCTGGAAAGTCTTTTTTAACAAAATTGTAATAACTTGAAAATTTTATTAAGAATATTCTCAGGATGTAGTGCGCGAATAAAATATTATAGTTTTATTGGAAATGTAAACAAGAAGCCACTCAAATTATTTGTAAATTTGTTCTTACAAAAAAGTGGTCAAGATTACTTACATGAAGCATGAAAGCAACAATCACAACAGCTATGAAGAGAGAAGTTGTCTCAAAAAGTTGAAAATTCAAGTCCATTGGGCGCCCAACTATCCAACCCGTAACCACACAAAAAGGAATCTGAAATCAGTGGAATGATGAAATGTCAGAACTGGTAAGGATAATGGAAAGCAGCTAATCTGTTGTTTTAAAATTGGATAAAAGGCATTCTTTAATAGCTACAATCAAATCCAAACTATTTTCGACTAATATATATCATCCACCTAGCTAAAGGGCCGGACAAGATCACAAAATTCCCTTCAAACTACTTAAATTAAATGCAATGGTATTCTTCAATCACTTGAACATTATGAGATTATTGCTTGATGAAACCTCAAATACCACTACCTGAATGCCTGGATGACTGTTTCAATCCATGATGGACCTTTGGAGTTTATAGACTTAATTTTCCATTCTGATTTCTATGAAATGGTTGTTGTATATAAATCTCTTCTTCTAGCTCACCTTTCAAAAATGCAATTTTTACATCTATTTGATGTAGCTCTAGATCATGACTTGCAGCTATTGCCAAAATAAGTTTAATAGAGTTGAAGCACTCAACAAGTGAAAACATACCTTCACAATATATCCCTTGCTATTGTGTATATTTCTTGTAACTAGATGAGTCTTATATTTATCAATTGATTGATTCACTTTCTTTTTTTAAAAAAAATTTTGCTATCATTTGTTTCCAATTAATTCCCAAACTTAATTTGTCCTCATTGAATCCATTTATTTTTCCATTACTTTCTTCCACTTATCATTGGCAAGCTTAATTGAGCCACTTGTACAGAACATGGCTCATCATCATCTTATATAATAACCATGAGTGTTTCATTCTCTATTTGGAAGCATTTTTTCGGAACACTTTCTCTGTTACTCCTCCACAATGGAGTCTCTTGTGCATTTTTCTTTTGCTCAAATCTCTTAGTTGACCTTTTCAAACTCCCACTCATATGAACATGTTGTGATGATTAAGGCCTATCAACTTGTTCTTCTGGATAAAATTAAATTATTTGACCTATGCATGGTTATCACATTAGAAAGACATTTTACTCATAATATTATTGACATGTTAACATTAATGTATGCATGATGTTGGGTAGTGTCATTATTGTTATATTATACCATGTGATATGTTTATCCACGTAGGTATCCACTTAAGACCTAGTGCAAAAGGTGTTGAGGCTTATGTATCCATAGTCACATAGATGTTTGCTCATGCTCAGTAGAAAAAGTGACTTGGATTAAACCTCTCACAGATATGCAATCAGATCTGGGTTTGCCAAAAGGCAAGGTGAACCACGGTCCATTCTCCAAGGGAAGTGATGAGTTAACCATTGTATCCTTTCTAGTTGTGTGATCTATAAAAAGGGATTGGTGAGTGTAGTAAACTTAAAAATGAGACCTTCACTAGTTACATAAAGGGGGTGCTTATTGTGCCTATAGCAATTAAGGCTAGCCCATGGTTCTTAGGGAATAGTGTATGACATCTTATTACATTCCTTCTGTTTATATATATATATATATATGTATGTATGTATTTGTCTTCACTAGTTTAAGATTAAAAAAGGAGTTAAAGGATATTTTTATCCCTTCACTAGTGTAAAAAATTTCATTTACTTATAAATCACAAATATATTAACTAAGTTATAATTTTTTTTTAGAATTATATTAGTCTATTAGAATTTATTTGTAAGTGTTATACATGCATTCCTTGTTTTTGTGTATGTGTTTTTGTTATATATTTGTCTTAACTAGTTTAATATTAAAAAAAAGAGGTTAAAGGCTAATGTCAAAAAAAATGCATTTCCTTATAAATCACATAAACATTAATTAAGTCGTAACTTTTTAGAGAATTTGTCAATCTCAAAAATTGTCTTATAAATCGTGTCTAAAATTTGTAAATAATAATATTTGAATTTTATATATATATATTAAAGAAATAATATTTTAATAAAATATTATTAAAACAAATATAACACTTTAAGTTACTTATTGGTATTGTTGCCATTAATTATATTCACTAATCACTCCACAGCTGGTCAAACTATCTAGTTAAAAGGGTATTTTGATATTTTACATGGGTAAAAAATAACATTAGTTTCTTGTAATTTATTTGTAATTTTAATAATTAATTGATATTAATGTTTTTATAATGAACTTATTTGTAATTTTTGAAGTTTTTTGTAATTTTTTAGGTTTTTCTCTAGAAATTTGTAGATCAATTAGCAAGGAAAGTTAACTTTTATTAATAATAAGAACAATATTACACAATTTTCAAATGTTAAAGGAAAAACATAACACCAAAGAAAAATTTAAAATACCAAATATTTCTATATGAATAGTAGAGATAAAAGTAATTTTGGTTAATTGAACAGTTGTTGGGATCAAAATAAGCTAGAAAAAAAGGATTATTTCCAACACATCTTCCATATTTACTCCAAGGTTCTCCAAATAAATACTCCCTCCATCTCAAATTATAAGATAGTTTTAGACAAAATCTCACATACCAATAAAACTCATTAAATACATTTTACAGCCTTACTTTTTCGAGACAAAAATATAAACTTTCAAAAATGTCTTCGTTTAATACTCCATTGATAAAAAAATATTAAACAAAGAGAATATATGAGAAGGATAATATTGAAAAAAAAAATCATCAATCAAATCTTACTTTTTAATCAAAGTATGTTATATTTTGGAACATTAAATCTTTCCTAAAAGTATCTTATAATTTAGGACGGAAGGAGTAGTTTGTAACTCATTCAAGGTTCTGCCAACAATTCCCAACATACAACTCCCTCATGTGTAAATTGACATAACTTAAAAAATAATAATAATAATTAAGCAAACTAGCCCTAAATCATCTTATCATTTTGTACCCCTCCTCAAGCCCATTAGCCTACAAATTTAATGAGTAACATAAATCCACTCATTTAATAAGCATCTCAATTCCAATTATTGCATTTTATCAATATTCAAAAAGTATTAAGATATATTTTCTTTAAACAATTGAAAGCAATATTCACAATCAAAACACTTCTCATGTACGTTATCTTTATTATATAACAAAATTTATAATAACCATTCAATTAGATCAAACGGTTGATATCTGCTATGCGAGACACTTATTGAGTAAGTCACTTAAGTCATTTACCGGATCTAAATCCTCAATGTAACCTGATCCAAGACCCATTCATTTCTTAGAAGATTTCTCTTCGTTCCTTCTTGCCTCAGTGTATGTTAGAGTCAAATTCAGCCAAGCATTTAAAGGCTCAGACTAGAGAAACCGACAGAGAGCTCTCTGTTACAATGCGCACACTTCATAGTCCTAGCTTTCAAGAGTCTACATTCTCTCCTTCACAAATAGTCACTTCTCTACTTAAAACCCTCTGAACCCTTGCGCCCCAAACATATAAAACCAACAACTCGCTCTCTCACACTCATACACATCACACAGCCCAATTCCTCCATCCTTTTCTATAAGATGTTTTTAATCAAATTCTGCATAGTTATAAACTTTTATTATTTAGTTGAAATCACATAAAATTATAATAATTTTTCAATTTCACTCCTAATAGTATCACTATTAATATCATAGTAGTGGTGGGAAAAGCACACAATTAATATATACTCTCTTTTTAAAGATAAGGATAAAATTATCTAATTATTTAAAAATATCATGACGCCTCTTATATTTAAGAACAACATAAGCTTCTAAAAAAATATTATATATATATATATATATATATATTAAAGGATGGAGGGAGTAACTACAAGAATAAGAGGAGATAATCCTTGTATAATCTTTTCAATTATGGTCCATAATTTTCATGTTGATTAGCTACCCTAATCCTTAATTTCAATTGATCAATTTATAAACCAATCAAATGGAAATTGCTAAAGTAGGAAATTTTATCGATCCAACAAGTCTTGTTATCTAAAAAACTTACCACAAACAAGGATATTTGAATAGAAGAACCTATAGCCACTCCAAGAGATATGTCCTACACCAATGACAGAGACAAGATGCACAAAAAAAAATTATTAGGTATAATAAGTTGTAGCCAATATTTTGACATTAAGGAATTTTAACACTCAACTTCCAGAATAAATTAGTTTTCAATAAAAATATCAAATTTAAAAACTCCAAAATTATCATTTAGTTTTCTATTATATTAATTATAATGAATTAAGTTGTTCAAGTATTACTACTTTGAACTTTGAATTTGATACAGACTGTGTTGGTGTCCAAGACAACAGAATATGCACATCTGGATACTTTACTTATGTTTGGGGGAATCTTGCCACCTATAGAAGTAAGAAGCAAAGTGTAGCTGCAAGGAGTAGTATAGAAGCCAAGTTTAACCCATGAGATTTTTGAAGGTACATGGCTTAAGAGAGTATTTGAAGAATTGAATAAGATTGTCAACTTGCCAATTAAACTTTATTCAAATAGTATGGTTACCATCAGTATTTCACATAACCTAGTTTAACATGATAGAACTAAGCATGTTAAAATTAACAGACATTTCATAAGAGAAAAGATAGATGATGGTAAAATTCGACTAGTCTACAACACTATATTACCTTTCAAAGAACAATTGGTGGATATTTTAAAAAAAGGACTAGCTCGAGACAAGTTTGAATTCTTTGTTGGCAAGTTTGACATGATTAAATCTATAAACTAACTCAAGGAGGAGTGTGGAAATCCTATATTTAATTTTGTGAATATATACTTTTAATGTAAACATCATAGGATCAGATTATAAGATCATTTTTATTCTGTGCTATTTCCCCTGACTTCTCAGCCTCTATAACCAATTGGGCTGGTTGTAGTTGCTGTATATATTTTTTTCCCCTTGGGTGGAGTGAGATATCAAAGAGTTATTCCAATTTTTATTCCCTACAAACATTCTAAGCATTTTTGGAGGAGTAATTAGCACATTAAACAAGTCTTACCAACTAGGCATTTATCGGTAGAAAAAAACAGATCTCACCTCACACTAACAGTTAACAGTGGGTCCCTCCTAAAATTAGAAACATTCGCATTGGTTGTGAAAAAATATGTTGATTTACCCTACAATTTTGTTTAGGATACTAACTGCTCCTTAATAATGCATTTTGAAAACAAAAATAAAAAATAAAAACAGTTTTAAGATGTTTCTTTTTCTTTATTTTTAAAAATAAAAAATGAAAAAGTTTTGAAAATAATTAAATTTAAAGCACTTATTTAAAAAGTTTTAAAATTTTTTGTTTTGAAAAAAACAGTTTTTAAAAACAGAAACCAAACAACCCTAAGCCGCCTTATTATGATCCTGCATTCTCCCTCTATTCCTCAAGGAATCTTAATAGCCATATCCCTCCATAAATTGAAAGAGCCAATGCAATGCTACCTCTTGGGATTTTGTACGTTGCTTCTCACTTCTAGTCGCTAAGTTAACTCACATGAATGTTGAATAACACGTTAAAAATCGATCAAGATACTTCTTAATGAGAATGTGGAACCTAATTAAAATATATTTGCATTTCCCCAGTATTTAAACCTTCCAAAATGTAGTACTTAGATATTAAAACAAATAACCAAATTAAATTAATTCTTAAGGTTAAAAGAGCAAATTGACCTATAAACTTTTGAAAATAGTACAATATGATTCTTACCATCAACAAAAGTTAATTTTGACCATTAATTGACCAAAAAAAGAAAAAAAATGACTTAAAAATTATAAAAAAGAAACAAACAATTACAATAAACTACCCAAAAATTACAGACAATTATCCAAAAATTATAGATAAGGATCAAGAAAATTTTATTGATTCTTTCTTGTAATTTTGAGGTTCTTTTCTGTTATTTTTTGGTCAACTAACCTTCAAAAGTTAATTTTTGTTAATGATAGAGATTAGATTGCACCTTTTTCAAAAATTGAAGGGGAACATTACACCAAAAATAGTTTAGAGTTTTGGATGCTCTTAGATCTATAATTTAGGGGCCAATATCCTCTTTTATCTTTTTCTTAATCAAAATAATTTTAATCAGTCACTCTATTTACTCCCATTCACTCCAAATAATTATTTCTTTTCAAGCTAAACTATTTGCTTCTGCTTAACTAAATTAATTTGTTGAAATACCCGACTTACTCATACTTCAGCACTAGAAAATTGTTATACAATATTAAATTAAAATCTTCGTGAAAATTTTCCATTTTTAAAGTTCTTCTCTAAAATTTAATTATCCCACGACATTTTAAACATTATTTTTCTTGTCTGAAACAAAAAAGACAAGGGGAATAATCTTACTAGCTTGTCTTTCACAGCAAATATAATAGTGCCGACATGTTCCGTGGCATTCCCAACTATAGGGAGAAGAATAACACTAATAAATGGTATGGGTATTTTCAAGTCTTCCGATGCCCCCTGCAAATAATAATTACATTATTATGACACAAAAACCATGTAAACTTATTAAAACAGTAAAAAACCAAAAAGATACAGTTTTATTAGGTGGGATAGCTTAGTTATATCCAAAAATCCTGTGATTTCTCAATTCATAATATATGTTTTAGCATTTTTCTATTTTCTCCATTACCATTTTGATATCTTATTTCTCACTTTTGACGAAAATTTTAACAAAAATAACTTACAAGACGTGTGATAATTTTCTATGGAATTTAACAAACTGCTATAGGTTCAGTAGTGTGTGAGATCCTAAACTTATTTTTTATATAATGTTTCTTTTTAATTTTTGAAAAAGATAAAATATGACTTTTGTCATTAATAAAAGTTAACTTTAAATGTTAGTTGAGCAGAAAATAAAAAAATGAAAAATTATAAAAAAGAATAAAAAAAATTACAGGCAAAGACTCAAAAATTGTAGAAAAGGACAAAGAAAATTTTATTTACTAACCCTTTTAATCTTTACAAAGATTATAAAGATTAAAATTATTTTAAAATTTTAATCTTTATAATGTTATTTTTAAAATATAGAGACCGATATTTTAAACAACTAAAACCATAGGGACTAAATTGCAAGAGTCAAAGTTTAATGATTGAGTTATAACTGAATTAAAATTATAAAGACCGAGTTATAATGAGTCAAAATTCTGAGACTTAGTTACAAGTTGGTTAAAATTATAAAAATCAAATGATTAATTTTTCCTATTAAAAATATTTTAATCAGTGTCCTAATTAAAAACTCAATGAAAGTGATCATGGTTCTGAGAAAAGGAAAACAATGTTTCCAAGATTTGAATTCACCTCTATGGTGTTAACCAAATATTCTGACAGGATTGATATCCACACTGTCAAGATAGACAACCAGATTATTGATTCCCACATAGAAATCTCAGGAGCCTCTGCATCAGCTGAATCCACTTCACTCAGACCCCTTTCCTAAATGTCAGTGACCATTATCAACTTATACCATTATCTGAAAGTAGTTAAAAATCCTCAAGAAATAACAAGTATCAATGAAAGATTAATAATTTGACTCAACACTCATGTTATTTTGTTCTGAAGCTAGCTTAGTTAGCATAAAAATTTGTGTCAGTGTACAAGATGATGATGCAACACATTAATATATTAATCAATTTTACTACTACATTAAAACAAAAATTTCCTTTATCCCTCTGTTTCAATCAAGAAAACAATTTAGTCTTCGTATTTTTAATTGATCAATGGCAACATGGCATCTTCCAATTTGCTCAACATAATACTCTCATTTGAATTGCAAATACCTCTTCTCCAATTTATTTCCGATGCTTTTGAAAAATACACATTCCTTTTAAAGATAAAATTGCCTTGCTACCTAGGTTTAGATTGTCATATTGTTGGAGTTCATCACAATTAACAACAAAATCGCATATCAAGATTGTAAAAAGTTAATTTCACTGGCTAAACAATTTTATGAAATTTTAGAGATATTTGTTAAATATATAAAAAATAATGTCATCACAACTTGGCAGAAATTGGATTCAAATTTAGTGCAGTTCATGGATAATCCGTCTAATTTTAATGGAAAGAACTGCTTTGTCAGTTTTGACAACACTAAGTGCAGTGGACGACAAGGTCCAACAAGAAGTGATGAATTAGAACAACTGGGCGGATTGGTTTAATTAATTTGAAAACACACATACTGTACTAAATCTATTTCATAAAAAAAAGGATAGTGACATAAAAATTTCATTATAATATAAAAGGCTTTTATTAGCTATTAAAAAAAATATTTCTATAGCAATCCCAAAAGTGATGTTGTTTAAGGTAATGTAGAAAGTTAGTGACCTTCTGCAGTGGGTGTATAATCAATGTACAAAGTCCAACAGTTTAGGTGAATTTTATGAAAATGCCACCATCTAGAGTTTCTACATCGGTTGCTAACAGTTTAGGTGAATTTTATGAAAATGCCACCGTCTAGAGTTTCTACCTCAGTTGCTTTGCTTAGCAACCAATGTAGAAAGGTACTTGTTAAAGACAAAATTTGTGCCAGTGTTTAGTATTTACCTCATCATCCACTGGAGCTTGTGCATTCTTACGCCCGTTGAGTTGGAATGCTATATAAGAAGCATAAGCCACAAGCATAATACAGCTAGTAAATCTTGAAAGAGCCAACTCAGACTTCCAATTAATAGCTTCTGTATTTGTAGAATGAAGAACTGATGGAAATAACAAGCCCATTACAGCCATCAAAAGCAGCCCAAAATCTACTGTAGCATCTGCCTGATGGTTAGACAAACAAGTTGTCAGCCAAGTCAAGAAGAATCAAGATAGAACCAAGCAAGGGTATTTTTCATTTAGTATACTTTGTTAAATATTTGTTCTCTGTCATAAAACACTAGCCCACCAGCAAAGAATGCACTTCCAAGAACTAGCAATAGATTTGACAGAATTGAACCTAACAGTGATTGCTGAACAACACGAATCAAGCCACTTTTGAGGGCATGTATTGATATGATCAGCTCAGTTGCATTTCCAAATGTGGCATTCAAAAGACTCCCAACTGTTAGGAAAATGTGATCAGGGTTAACCAAAATTAAGAGATGACACGTAAGGATTTTCTACCAATACAAGATGTTGATGAGAATGATGATACTTACTTTTAAAAATCAAAATCCTCAGAAAAATATCAAAGCTAGCACTTACCCTTCTAAGATTACAATGGATGCTTCTGAAAATTATAAATCTAAAACATCAATATAAAATATCAAATGTATAGAGCCCTATTATTCACAGCCCATAAACAATTCTGTATCTCTCAAGTTATGTGCAATCTTTTTTCTTTTTTCATTCCTTTAATTTTTATTCACACATTTTCCATCAACGAAAAGCCTCTTGCTAAGTGCTTATGGTTTAATCATGGTTATCAACCTAGCTAAGTGCAGCAGGAAAAAAGTAATCTTATTTGGAAAACATATCGTATCTATTTATTTTTTTCTTGAGATTATCTGAAATCTGAAAAGGTAAAAATTTCAAAACAATGAAAATGTATATGTAGAATGGTTCAAGAATTGCAAAGAGACATATTAAGCAATTCATGAAAAACAATGATGCTGTCAACAAAAGGGTAAAGAAGCTTCAATCTAACCCTCCATTTGGAATGGGAAGAAGACAGGGAGGGGAGAAAACTAGGAAAGAAAAGTAGAAGGAAAAAGACATTTTTCCTCCATAACAAAGTTTTTTCTTTAGTTTTCCTCCTTTTTAGTGGGAAATTTGGAGAAAATAAGAGTAAAAAATGTCTTTTTCCTTTAGTTTTCTTCTGTAATTTTCCCTCCTCCCTATTTTCTCTCCATTCCAAACAAAGATTAAGAGTCAAATATAGAAAACAAAGGGTTACAAATTCTCTCTAGTTCTAATTCAAAGGTTCCCAAGAAAAACAAGCGAAAGAGTTCACAAAATTTGTAATTGGTAATAGGAGAAAGCTTAAAATACCTGTAGGTCCCGTAAAACAAACCAATTGCCTGCATCAAAAGCAGACCAACTTGTATAAAACCTTTGTGAATTCCATTAATCAAAGAAATTTTATTTGAGCATATGTAACAAAGCATCACAGGACAAATTTTAGATTAAGATTATCAGATACCAATGCAAGGAAGACAAACCCCATCCTGTAAGAGAAGGAAAAAGAACAGATTTAATTTGCTAGCTATCTGCTGAGGGATTGTTTTGAAGGATCTATTAGTGACGATTGTAATATTTAAGCATAAAATGCAAGCAGAGTTAGTTCGCTGAAATTTTTAAAAACCTAAAAAAATGATTTGCAAAATCATAATATTGTTCTTGAAAAGGTTTATGTCGAAGTAGTGGAGATGTGTAGTAAATAATACTTCCTCTGTTAAAAAATGGAAGGTATTTTTAACTGAATTTCACCTCCTAATAAAGTAATTACCTACTTTCAAATTAACCCTATTTTTTTATATTTACCCCTATTAAATATCTTACAATAAATATAAAGTCATTCATCAATAGGGGCACTTTTGAAAAAAAAAAGTAATGATTACACCTCAAAAAACTAAAAATGCCTTACATTTTTAAACATTTAACTCCTCAAAAAATGCATTATATTTTTGAGGGGAGGAAGTATATTAAAACTTTAATTTTAACTATAATTAAAAAGTTTGCAAGGATAGTGTCAATTATTGAATAAATTGAAAACTTCATGCAAACTCTTCTTTTTCATTGATGACTTGATAAAAATCAGTGATTTCAGAATAACTTACTCGGTTGTATATCCTAAACGTTCAGCCAAAGGTAATATGCCCAAAAGGCTAGAAAGAAAGACCAAACCCTGAAGTGCATGTAAATAAGCCAAAAATTGAGACATTTGTATAATCCATGATATCAAGAAACTAAAAAATTGATGTGTAAACTATAGCTATAAGCAGAAGATGAAGCTTACATGATTATGAAACAACTTATCAAGCAAAATAGCCAAAGGGCCGAAGGGCATGAGTACGTTTATTTTGGCAGAGAGGACCACCACTTTTATGCTACTAAACACCTTACTTCTTACAACTGAGAGCTTCCCTTTGTCATGATTTAGAGATGAAGCCTCTTCAAAGGAAGAGCTTCTTCTAGGAAATGATGAAGAAGCAATAATTAGGTTTCTATTTTCAAGTTCTATTGCAGACATTCCATCTGCAGAACCCATCTGCAGAATCACATTTTTGACATGAGATATTGCCAGTTGAGAATAGAAATAATACAAAATAGAACAGGGGAAAAATTGAATGACCCAAAGATTGTTTTAGATCCTCAAAATACAAAAGGGGTTTAATTAGAAAACAAAAAGAAAAGTGAGGCCCACTCAAACAAGTTTAGGGAGGATCCCTTCTTGATTTTATATTACACACTTGCACCTACTTTATTTTCAATTTACCCTGCTTAAACTTGTAGAATTTACATACAATTCTTCTAAAACTTAAGATATTACACTAGCCTCCCTTAATTTAAATTCTCAAACGCATGAAATTACTTCTTTGATTATTATTGCATTTAATTCGGCTATCAGGAATTTTTAATTGAAAAATTGCACTTAGCATCAGGGAGTAGAAGGGTATACTTCAAACCACCATGAACAACTCTATAAGTGAATAGAGGAACGTTTCTGCTTTAATTGAAACTAGAAAGAGTGGATAGAGACTTTTAAAACACCAAACACACACGCATGTAGTGTATACAATTTACACGTTAATCAAAACAAATATCAGTGATGAATATGAGCGAGCAACGAAGGGCTTTTTTTTTTTTTTTTTTTGGCTAAAGAGCCAATGATACGAGCGTTAGATAATTGGTAGTACCGAGGTAATCCTCTTCATCCTTAACTAAGCTTTTTCCTTCCCGACGTTGCAGGAGTTAGACTTTAAGCCTCCATAACAACTGCAAGAGATTTTTATCAACGGAATAAGACCAAACCCATGTCATCAATATATCAATATAATAACACATTGGTCGAGAAGAATTGACCCAGATATATAATGAAGAATATTTTGCAGACAATCAGAATAATATGCATCTTCTAGAGAAAGCAATAATCAGCCAGAATCATATTATTTATCAATTTCATAGTTTCGCTTTTCACTAATCATCAGTTGCATTGATTGAGAGTGTCCTCTCACTCTTCTAACAATCTTAGGTTTCTGAAACAAAATACAGAAAGAATATGAAGTAAAGAAAAACCAAATACAAGTACAGGACAAAACATTAATCTTATTTAAACTAGGGAACGAGCCAATACCTATGTCTAAGAATTTCCAAGAGATCTTTAATTACTGAGAAAAGGGGAAAAATCAACGGAAGCGAATAACTAAATGAATTTTAACAAGAGACCCAGAATCCATGTTCGCTCAACAGCTCACTTGTTTTATTCGTTAAATTTAGATAGGGTTTGCCGGAGATGGAGATGGGTGCATAGACGCAGAAGGAAGAAAAGAAGCAAAACCGATTAAAAAAAAATGAAGAACCTTTGCTGCAAAACTCACAGACAAGTGGCATAAGCAACGCTTTTGTTGCCTACATTTTTCTTCTTCAGCATGTGGTGCTTTATATTTGGTTAAATGTAGAATCTCACTGGCTAGATCGTTATGCATTGGACCATGTGCCCTGTCCCTATTGAAATGGATAATGCCTACGGAATGATAAAATATTAAATACAAGTAGTTAATGGGGAAAATTATTCCGCAGTTCCACACAACAACTGAAAATACCTAAAGTCCCACTAAGTACTCAATGGCGACCGACATGGGAGAATTCGAGGATCAATATATATATATATATATATATATCTCTATAAAGAACTTATCCCTTATTTGGATGGAAAGGAAATGTGAGAAAAAAGAAAACTACGGGAAAATCTAAGGAGGAAAACAAGTTTCCTCTTGTTTGAATGATAAAGGAAAAGTGGAAGGAAAGAAAAGTGGAGAGAAAAGTAAGGCATGAGACCATTATATTTTCTTCCCTTCTTTTTTCTTCATAAATGGAGAGATTTAAAAAAAAAAAAAAAATTCGTGGTTCCACATCTGCCCTCACCTCTCTCCCCTGATAAAGGCCCTATCATGATCACGCACCTTCATTCCAGTTCACTTACGCATTGGGACCACATGCTTTCCAGTGATCTAATCTCCACCTTCGAACTCTCCTGCGATCTCCAAGGCTACGGACTCCATTTCTTCTTCTTTTGTTTTGTTTTGTTTTGTTTTGTTTTTTTTTTTGTTTTTTACCATGAAAAGGATGCAAATTCATTACTGAAACCAGGGAACCAAGAGTACAGCAGCAAAGCACAAGTATAAGCAACCAGCAAACAAAATAACTCATAAACAACAAATTTAAAGAAGCATCAGCCAATTCCTTCTATACTTTGGACTCCATTTCAAACTTCCACAATTTGAGGACTTGTATATGCCACTTCATTTAATATGAAATTCTATTGCGCTATTTTTTTTAATTCCTTTTCATTTGGTGCTTATTAGTTCGAAACAATCCTTTATTTTATGTACTCTAATTGGTGTTTAATATGGAACAATCTCTGAATAAAAATAAAAAAAGGTACAATCTCTTATTGCCTTTGATTTTATTTTTTAAAATTTAAATATAAAATTATCCATTTTGATTTTTTAGCTATTATATTTTATGTTAAAAATTTATCCATTTTGATATTTAAGTAGAAAAATATAAAAATAAAATTTTTGGTCAAATAGTTTTATTTCAAGATATTATGATGGATTTTAATATGATTTTTTTCTGTAGTGTATTTTAATGGAACAATGACATAATATATCCAAATATAAGGGTATTATTGTCATTTTGGTTTTTGCTTATTTTCTTTTTTTTACATTTTCCTCCATCCATCCAAACATAAAAAGTAATAATATTATCTTTCCAGTTTTTTTTCTTCTCCATTTTTTTCTCTTTTTATTTTCTTTCATCTCAACTTTTCTTTCCATTCAAACAAAAGCATTAATGTCAATTACAAAATATTAGTAGCCAATGTGCTTTGTCTTATTATCATTTCCCTTTCCTTGTCATTATCCTCTACCTCATTATAAATAATTGGTGTGGTATAACTTGTGCATTCTATCATGCACTTATTATACTTCAAATTATTTCAGTTGACAGTGCCCTTTGTTTTCTTGTTATTTCCCCTTACCCTATGGCCAATGCCCTCCACCTTGTTGTAAATAATGGGTGATGGGTGTGGTATAACTTTTGTGCTTTATCATAAACTTATTACACTTTAAATTAGTTCAGTTGTCAATGCCTTCTGCCCTGTTGTCATTTCCTTTTGCCTTGTTGCAAATAACTATGGAAGGGAAAATGATAATAAGGCATATGACATTAACAATTGAAATATTTTAAAGTGTAATAAGTTCATGATAAAATACACAAGTTATATTATACATATTATTTACAACCAGGAAGAGGGGTAATCTGGAAGGCCATATGCACCCATAGCTCCATACAAAACTCTTGAAGAATTTTTTTAAAACTGATGTCAATCAATCTTCCAAAGCCGATATTCTTAACCCTCATTTTGAACTCCTTGTTTACATTCACAAAGTCAGCCACCTCTTTAAATTTTCTCGACAAACATCTAGTGTTGAATGGGTAGAATATATTTTTGACCTTGAAAGAAAATTGAGGAGGAAAAACATACCTTGAGTCGTTAATTCACACGTACATATGTGGGAACAAAGTTACACCAGTCGAACTTCATTCGGGTACACAGCAAACGCACTCAGAGAGAGAAAAAGCTTGTAAGGAGATAAATGAGACGAATCAAAATCGAGAGCGTTCTGTTTCTTTCATGCAGAGAACCAAAATCTGAATCGACTAAAACTGCACCTATAACCACCTCTTATGGGAATGTGCGGCAGTTTCTCTAACTGCCCATATTTCAAATTCAAAGGTTGGAGAATATTACTTTTTAAGGCCCAGAGTAAATTGCATTTTGAACCCAAACACTTTTCATAATTCTCATAAGAACCCCATTCCTAATTTGGGCTTTTATATGGGCCTGATCCACCAAGGGTAATAACCCAACATCTCCCACTCACATTTGGTGGAGAAGATAATGTCAGTTCTATCTCTTTCTCTTTCCTCTCTTCATACTAAGTGCTTTGCCGTGATCGCATGGGCTTGACGTCTTCATTTCAGTTATTTGTACTAGAAAATCCTATTAAGGACCAGCACAAATAACTTTAAAGTTGAATTTATTCTTGATTAAATTTGTGCCTTAATGTCCTAGATTTACCAATATACAGTTTTTCTCATTATGACTAATCTAATCCCTCATAAGTCAGCCCAAGACTTAGATAGTTTCTCTTATATGCGTAGTATCCACACTTGTGAATTCACAAATTATTTCATAAGGGACATGTCTTGAATATGAGCATATATATGTATATTTAAGATAATCTTCCTTTTGTCCATATACCACTTTGATAGGAAACAGTCGCTTTCCTAACATGAAACCTTTAGGTCGCATCAATCATGACCATAGCGTGCATGTTAAAGTAGCAGACTTGTAACATATCTCCATGATAATGTCAAAGTCAAAGGACATCAATGAAAGGATTTTTTTTCCTTTATGGGACTCACGTAGCAATGAAGCAGGGATTTATTCACTTGCTTCACATTGCAATTCTTAAGCACATGTGGTATGAAACACATGTTATGGTGTTACTCTTGCTTGTAAGAGTGTACATCGTTTTCATTTATTATTGGGAAAATGACAATTAAGGACCTTCTAAGAACATTAATCCTAATTACAGACCGTAAAATTTTAAAATATCAGTTAAGGACCATGGTCCTTAATTGTGATAAAAAAATATAGTTTGTGAGGTGGAATTCAGTGTTACCACTTGGAAATTCACTAACTCAACTTGAGAAAATTTGTAACGTATATTGTGAAAACATGAAATCCCACTTAAAAATCAATTGTTTAACAAAAAGCGCCACTTGAGAATTTACTAACTCGACTTGAAAAAATTTCTAACATATATTGTAAAAATATGAAACTCCACTTAAAAATTGATTGTTTAATAAAAAATACCAATTTGGACAAGTCACTTTTTATTAATGATTCTCAAGTAGGGTTTCATTTTTTCACAATATACGTTAAAAATTTTTTCAAGTTTAGTTAGTGAATTCCCAAGTGATGCTTTTTGTTAAACATTCCATCTCCAAATGAGGTTTCATGTTTTCACAGTATACGTTAGTAATTTTTTCAAGTGGGTTAATGAATTTCCAAGTTGCGTTAGTGAATCCCACCTCACAAATTATATTTTTTTATCACAATTAAGGACTATAGTCCTTAACTGAGATTTTAAAATTTCACGATCTGTAATTGGGATTAATGTTCTTAGAAGGTCCTTAATTGTCATTCTCCCTTTATTATTAGCATCATACAAACATAAGTTTAGATATTCATTGTATCTAAACCCAAATTCTTCTTTTCTATTGATCTCACATGACGTCAATTTAAAAGAATTTGTTGTTTGGCCACAGGTATCATGGATATGGGGATCCATCATTCGATCTAAGTATGCTTACGGATCTCATCTTAACTTGCTTTTTGATCGAGGCGACATATGATTTGTGTTTCTTTTCTACCATATCAACATTTTTTTGTTGCCTTGCTGGTGAACACTAAAGTCTCATCTTTGATTTCAATATCAAAGGTAGTTGCTCGTGTGAGAGAGTCAACCTTATCAACCTGTACGACATACTAGACATTGATGTTCTCAATTGTACACATATAGAAGTAATGAAAAATCTCATTAATATAACCAATACATTACATCAAGTCAATCTAGCCATGCCAAGAGCCCTTACATGTTTCTTAAATATCTCTTTGGCTATGAGTTTTGTTAGGGGATCAGCTATCATACATTTCTTGGAAATATATTGAACAGTGATAACCTTTTGTGCTATATAATCCCTTACAAAATTGTACTTAATGTCTATGTGTTTGGTTTTGCTATGATATTTAAGATCTTTGGTATAGGCTATGGCTGCAGTATTGTCACAATGAATTAACACAGAATTTGTACTTTCATTTCCAAACCCAAGATGTTTTATAAATCTCTTAAGCCATATAGCCTCTTGCACTGCTGCAGTACATGCTACAAACTCAGCTTCCATAGAGTGTAGGGCAATGCATGTCTGCTTCTTGCTGCTCCAATAAATGACCCTATTATTTAGCAAGAAAGTGTAGCCTGAAGTTAATCTTCGTTCATCTTCATCTCCGCCTAAATCCGCGTCGAAGTATCTTGTCAGGCGTAGATTACTCCCTCGATAACACAGTGCATAGTCAATAGTACCATTTAAGTATCTTAAAATCCTCTTTACAGCTTTCCAATGTCCTTCTCCGGGGTTGGATTGTAGTGACTCACAAGTCCTATGACATAACAGATATTTGGTCTTATACACATCATTGCATACATTAAACTTCCGACTGCACTGGCATATAGAACTCTTTCCATTTTTCTTTTGGCTATCTCAGTTTTAGGACCCATATCAGGACTAAGCTTCACACCTAA